AAGGGCCAAACTGCCCAAAGTAATTTATACATTCAATGCTATTCCCACTAAGCTACCATTGACATTCTTCACAAATTTGTTATTTAAGATAGAACAAATATTTTAAAATTTATATGGAACCACAAAAAAGTCCAAATAGCCAATACAATATTAAGCAAAAAGAACAAAGCTTGAAGCATCATGCTTCCAGACTTCAAACTATATGGCCAAGCTACAATAATTGAAACAACATAGTACTAGTACAAGAACAGACACAGACCAATTGAACAGAATAGAAAACCCAGAAATAAGACCACACATCTACAACTCTCTGATCTTTTACAAACCAGACCAAAAAAAAAAAAAAATGGATTGAGGAAAGTATTCCCCATTAAATAAATCATACTAAGATAACCAGCTATCCATATGCAGCAAATTGGGCCTGAACCCCTTCCTTATATAATATACAACAATTAACTCAAGAGGGATTAAAGACTTAAATGTAAACCCAAAACTATAAAAACCCTAGAAGACAACTCAGGCAATACCATTGCAAACATAAGCATAGGTAAAGATTTTATGCAAATCACTCCAAAAGCAATTGTAACACAAGCAAAAATTAACAAATATGATATAATTAAGCTAAAGAACCTCTGCAGAGCAAAATAAATATTAACAGAGTAAATAGACAACCTACAGAATGAGAGAAAATTTTTGCAAACTATGCCTCTTGCAAAGGTCTAATATCCAGCATCCATAAAGAACTTAAATTTACCAGAAAAAAAAACAATTAAAAGGCGGACAAAGGACATGAACAGACACAGACAGAAGACATACGTGTTATTGATTCTTCCTATCCACAAGCATAATATGTTTTCCATTTGTTTGTGTCTACTCTTATTTCCTTAAGCAGTGGTTTACAGTTCTCCTTAAAAATTTTCTTCATGTATCTTGTTAGCCGTATTTCTCAATATTTTATTTTCTTTGTAACAACTGTAAATAGGATTTATTGATGATTTTGCTCTCTGCTTGTCTACTGTTGGTGTACTGGAATGATTGTGATTTTTGCACATTGATTTTGTATTCTAGAATTTGCTGAAGTTGTTTATCCTCTTAAGAAGCTTTTGGGCTGAGCTGAGTACCATGGCTAATGCCTGTAACCCCAGCACTTTGGAAGGCCCAGGATGGTGAATCACTTGAGGTCAGGAGTTTGAAGCCAGTCTGGCCAACATGATGGAACCCCGTCTCTACTAAAAATACAAAAATTTAGCTGGGCATGGCAGCAGGGGCCTGTAATCCCAGCTACTTGGGAAGCAGAGGCAGGAGAATCACTTGAAACAGGGAGGTGCAAGTTGTAGTGAGTCGAGATTGTGCCCCTGTAGTCCAGCCTGTATAACAAGAATGAAACTCCATCTCAAAAACAAAAACAAACAAGAAAAAAAGAAGCTTTTTTTCTTTTTTTCTTTTTTTTGGGCTGAGATGAAGGGGTTTTCTAGAAATAGACTCATGTTATCTGCAAACAGAGAAAATTTGACTTCCTCTCTTTCTATTTGAATATTCATTATTTTTTTCTCTTGCCCGATTGCCCTAAGCAAAACTTCCAATATTATGTTGAATAGGTGTGATAAGAATGCCTCCATGTCTTGTGCCAGTTTTCAAAGGAAATGCTTCCAACTTTTGTCCATTCAGTATGCTATTGGCTGTAGGTTTGTCATAGATGACCCTTAATATTTTGAGATATGTTCCATCAATACTGAGTTTATTGAGAGTTTTTAACATGAAGTGATGTTAAATTTCATTAAAGGCCTTTTCTATGTCTATGGAGATAATCATGTGGTTTTTTGTCATTAGTTCTGTCTATGTGATTAATTATATGTACTGGTTTGCATATATTGAACTAGCCTTGTATTTCAGAAATGAAACCAACCTGATCATGGTGGATAAACTTATGATGTGCTGCTGGATTTTGTTTGTCAATAATTTATTGAGGATTTTTGCAATGATGTTTATCAGGGATATTGGCATGAAGGTTTTTTTGTTGTTGTTCTATCTTTGCCAGGTATCAGGATGATGCTGACCTCATAAAATAAATTGGGGAGAAGTTTCTCCTTTTCAATTGTTTGGAATAGTTTAATAAGGAATGACACTAAACCCTCTTTGTACCCCTGCCCAAAGTAATCATTCCCATTAAACTACCATTGACATTCTTCACAGAACTAGAAAAAAAAACTACTTTAAAATTTATATGGAACCACAAAATAGCCCATATAGCCAAGACAATCCTAAGCAAAAAGAACAAAGCTAGAGGCATCATGCTACCCAAATTCACTATACTACAAGGCTACAGTAACCAAAACAGCTTGGTACTGGTACAAAAACAGACACATAGACTAATGGAACAAAATAAAGATCTCAGAAATAAGACCACACATCTACCATCATCTGATCTCAACAAAGCTGACAAAAACAATAGGGAAAAGAATCTCTATTTAATAAGTGGTGGTGGGAACACTGGCTAGCCATACGTAGAAAACTGAAATTGGACGCTTCCCTTACAAATTATACAAAAATTAGCCCAAGATGTGTTAAAGAGTTATATGTAAAACCCGAAAGTATAAAAACCCAAGAAAACAATTTGGGCAATACTATTCAGGACAGAGTCATCAGCAAAGATTTCATGACAAAAACATGAAAGCAATTGCAACAAAAGCAAAACTTGACATATGTAACCTAATTAACTAAACAGCTTCAGCACAGCAAAAGAAACTATCATCAGAATGAACAGACAAACTATGGAACAGAAATAAATTCTTACCGCCTATTCATGTGACAAAGGTCTAATATCCAGAATCTACAAGGAACTTAACAAAATTTCCAAGACAAAAACAACCCCATCAAAAAGTGGACAAAGTACAGGAACAAAACCTTCTCAAAAGAAGATACTTATGTGGCCAACAAAAATGAATAAAAGCTCAGCATCACTAATCATTAGAGACACACAAACTAAAACCATAATGAGATATCATCTCATGCCAGTCAGAATGGCCATTATTACAAAGTCAAGAAACAACAAGGCTGTGGAGAAATAGAAACACTTTTACACTGTTGGTGGGAATGACAGTGTGGCAAGGATCTAGAACCTCAAGAATCTAGAACCATAATACCATTTGACCCAGCAAACCCCTTACTGGGTATATACCCAAAGAAATATAAATCATTCTGTTTTAAAGTTACATGCACAAGTATGTTTATTGCAGCACTATTCGCAATAGCAGAGACAGAATCAACCCAAATGCCCATCAATAATAGACTGGATACAGAAAATGTGATACATATACACCATAGAATACTATGCAGCCATGAAGAGGAATAAGATCATGTCTCTTGCAAGGACATGAATGGAGCGGGAAGTCATTATCCATAGTGAATGAACACAGGAACAAAAAACCAAACACCACATGTTCTCACTCATAAGTGGGATCTGAACTATAAGAGCACATGGATACAGGGAGGGGAACAACACACAACAGGGACTCTCAGGAGGTCAAGGAGAGGATTAGCATCAGGATAAATAGCTAATGCATGCAGGGATTAATACCTAGGTGATGGGTTGATAGGTGCAGCAAACCACCATGGCCCATTCTTACCTATGTAACATACCTGCACATCCTGCACATGAATCCTGGAACTTAACATAAAGTTAAATTTAAAAAGAAAAGGAATATGTACACATAGCCAAAAAATATATGAAGAAAAGCTCTACAACACTGATCGTTAGATAAATGCAAATCAAAATTGCAATGAGATACCATCTAACACAAGTCAAAATGGCTATTAATAAAAAGTCAAAAAATAAGAGATGCTGGCTAGGTTGTGGAGAAAAAGGAATGATTATACACTGTTGGTGGAAGTGTAAATTAATTCAGCCATTGTGGAAGACAGTAGGGTGATTCCTTAAAGACCTCAAGACAGAAATATCATTTTACTCAGTAATATCATGACTAGATATATACTCGATGAAAAATAAATCATTCTATTATAAAGACACAAGCACACGTATGATAATTGCAGCACAATTCTCAATATCAAAGACAAGGACTCAACTTAAATGCTCATCAATGACAGACTGGATATTTTAGTCAGGGTTCTCTAGAGACAGGACTAATAGGATGGATGTTTATGTGAACAGGAGTTCATTAAGGAGAATTGACTCAGACCCTCACAAAGTCCCACAACAGGCCATCTGCAAGCTAAGGAGCAAGAAAGCCAGTCTGAATCCCCAAACCTCAAAAGTAGGGAAGCTGATAGTGTAGCCTTCTGTCTGTGGACAAAGGCCCAGGAGCCCCTTGCTCACCACTGGTATAGGTCCAAGGGTCTAAAAGCTTAAGAACTTGGAGTATGATGTTTGAGGGCAAGAAGCATCCAGCACTGGAAAAAGATGGAGACTAGAAGATTTAACCAGTCTAGTCTTTCCGTGTTCCTTTGCCTGCATTCGTCCTAGCTACACTGTCAGCTGATTAGGTGGTGCCCACCCAGATTGAAAATACATCTGTCTTTCCTAGTCCACTGACTCAAATGTTAATCTCCTTTAGCATTTCTCTCACAGACACACCCAGGAACACATCCTTCAGTCCATTCAAGTTGACACTCAATATTAACCCTCACACTGTTTAAGACAGTACTATGTGACATGGTAAAAGCCCCATAAAACTGCATACCTCAACTATACCTCGACTTTCTGTTGAAACTGCTCTCTGTAACACCAAATGCGACAGGCAAGCAGTCCAAACCCACGCCATCTTGGCCCCTGCTACTTGTAAAAAGTAATTAAGATCTGTAATTTCCACCCTACCCAGACAATGTGTAAACTAATCTTGACTTTTGTGAACCACTTAAGTAACAATCGGAATGTGAAAAGTCCTCCAGTCCTTGGAATGTCCAGAACTTCTAACCCTCATCTCCACCAAGGAGATGATTGACAGAATCCCCTCGCCCTCAGAATGTCTGAAGCCCCTCACCCTCACCCTCACCCCTGAGGTGGTTTACAGCCATAAAAGGTCTTGACACCCTCCTTTTGGGGCCATGGGTTGGAGAGATGCTAGTCTTCCATGGCTGCCAGCAATAAAGACCCTGCAATTTGATATACTTTTGTCTTGGTGTTGACTTTCTATGCTCGCTCCTGCAACATTTTGGAGGTCCCACTGAGATTTATCTTCATATATCACCAGACAAAAGCTGTCTCAGATTCTTGCCCGGGTGGCCGCTCCCACTTCTGGGACCTCTAGGAGAAGCACCCCCTGAGATATTCCAGGGCCCCAGAGTTCTGGCCCTGTGGAGGATGGGTGACTACCCAGCCAAGATTCACCTGAAATTCCTCAGGGTCCCAGGAACCTTCAGAGGTAAGTCAGGGTCTGGGGACCGGTCCATCGGGGGGCCTGAGTGGGGGGATCAGATGTGGTCTTTGCAACTCTGACCAGGCAAGCCTACTGTGAGATGTCACTGAAGGCTCAGGTTACCACACTGGAGGCTCGGGTAATTTAGTTTTCGGTTGTTTTCCATAACCTCGGTGTGAGTCAGAGAGTGAGTATGTATATATGTAGTCCCAAAGCTGGAAGGCTACAGGGCTTGTGTGGGCCTTCACCCGAGGTTCTGAAACATCCCTCCGGGGACGTGGCCGGACAGGCATCAGACTGGTCTCCCATCTGGGGGACACCCATCCTTTGTCTGTCAATCCTATACGTGGTTCTGTCTTTATTGTAGATTCACCAGTTTTGTTAGACCCCTGTTGGCTGATATATAGTGGTTTAGACCTGTTACTCCTGAAGTGGATAATATTTTCCATTGGCTAAGTGACAACTGACTTCAAGGAACTTTGAGTTTACACCCCTGAAAATAATTCTGTTCTCTTTCCTCTTCTTCTTATCCTATCATTGAGGCCTCATTCTTCCTTTTTTCATGTCTGTGAGAAAATTCTGCCCCCAAAGACTTGAGTGTAGTATTTTTCTCTGTCTTAGGGAATCAAACTTTAAATAAGAAGCTACCAGCCCTCTTTGCCTGTTTAGAGTAAAAAAGGAGTAATTGTCTCTTCTGTCAAACGAAACAGAGATAGGGAGGGAAAGAGGGGAGAGGACAAGGAAGTAGGGGAAGGGAAGTGCAGAGAGAAGACAGAGAAAAGAGAGAGCGAGGAGACAGAGACAAAGAGAAAAGAAAAAAGAGAGAGAGAGACAGCAAGAAGAGAGAGAAATAGGGAGAGATGAATTTAATCCTTTTTAGAGTTCCTGTGTCAAGGTGATCAAAAGCTGCAGGGGCAGGGAACTTGCAGCTGGCCCAGTGGCTGAGAGCTCAGTTTTAAACTGACACAAAAAGCATTTTTTTTTCTTTCTCTGCTGGCTTCCAGCCCCGCCTGGCTTTCAGGCAGGCCACACTGCCTCAGGGTGCAGTATTTGCATCCAAAATATGGCAAAAAAAAAAAAAAAAAAAAAAAAAAAAAAAAAAAAAAAAAAAAAAACTTCCTAACTCTTTGTAGTGCAAGTGACCTGTCAGCTCAGTAGTTCAGGTATGAGGCCTGCAAATGAAAGGTTGTTGGTTCAAATCCTCAGTGAAGCCAGTCTTAAATTAGTAAAATCTCCTGTGGGAAATTCAAAAGCTGAAGAAAAAACTAAATGGGGTCACCTAGCTCCAGGCCTTCCCCACTCCAATACATGATGGCCAAATTTAAGGTTAGGCTTTCAGGACAATATGGGGTAAAATTAACCCCTGGAGAACTCTGCTCTTTATGTAAACTAGAATGGCCATCTTTTGGAATTGGTTGGCCTGACACTGGGATTTATGACTCAAAAAAATGACCCAGGCTATATGGAAAATGGTCGCATGAACTCCTGGACACTGTGACCAGTTTCCATACATTAACCAATGGCTGGATTTAGTCCAACAACCCCCTCCATGGCTAAAATGCTGCATAAAACAGGCTAGACTTCAGGTCATGTTAGCCAGCCCAAAGAAAGCCCATTCTGGGCCAGCCATTCTCCCCACCCCAGCAGAGTATCAGGAATTACCTCCACCCTACCCAAGACCCTCTGAACCAGGGCCTCAGCACCCCCCTGGGCAGTACCAGTAACCAAACTTTGTCCCCCCTACACACCCGCAGCGGGGCTCCACACCCACCAGTGGTCCTTCCTCTCCGAGAGGTGCCCCCAACAGGAGAAGACAATTGGGGTCGTCCATTCTTTGTTCACATCCCCTTCTCTTCAAGTGACTTGTATAACTGGAAGGTGATAGAAATTATAGAGATGGCTGAAACACCAAGTGCTGGAACAAGCTTTATTAAGAGCAAGGGAAAAGCTGCCGGGCTGCACCCAAAATTGGCACGCAGCACCCGTGGTGGGGCAAAGGGGATTTTTATGGCCTGTAAGCTGGCAGATGCATCCAGTGTGAGGGGCTGTGCAGTAGGGGAGGTGCTGGGGAACTGTTGAGTTTAATAGTTCCCGGGAGGGGGTCCTGCTGGGGAACTGCTAAGATGGCGAGGGGGTGGTTAGAAACCTGCTGAGATGGAAAGTTCCCCAGGAGGGGGTCGTGCTGGGAGGCTGGGGAACTTAAGGCAGTGGCAGGGTTTTACAATGGAGTAAGTTCTGTCAGAAAGCTCAACATCCCCCTTCTCTGAGAAGCCCCAGGCTTTGACAAGGCTCTTAGAATCTGTACTGCAGACTCATCGCCCCTCTTGGGATGACTGCCAACAATTATTGCTGATTCTGTTCACCACAGAGGAAAGAGGCAAAATTAGACAAGAAGCCCTGAAAGCCATCATAGGTCCAGGGAGGGGAATAGTAGAAGAAAAAAAAAAAAAAAACAGGACCAAATTAAAACGGTTTTTCCCTCTACCTGACCCCAATGGGACCCCAACACCTTGGGGGGTCACCAGACTCTGAAGACATTTCACCGGTGTCTTTTAGAAGGGATTAGGGGAGCAGCCCACAAGCCCACTAACCTCTCCAAGGTAGGGACTGTAACTGAGGGTCTGCAGGAGTCCCGGCTGCCTTCCTTGAGCATCTACAAGATACACCTACACTCCTGTTGATCAGAGGCTCCAGAAAATCAGTGGGCCATCAATCTGGCTTTCATTTCCCAGTCAGCCCCAGATATGAAAAGAAAGTTACAGAAGTTAGAGGGATTCCAGGAAATAAATTTAACCCAATTGCTAGAAATTGCCCAGAAAGTTTTTATAGCAGAGATACTACTGGAGCCATACAAAAAAGAAGAAAGGTTAGACAAGAGTCATTCCATCAGGGCAGGGGGTCTTGTAAAAGGGCCCCTGGGGTCCCTGGTCCCTGTTAGGAAGAAACCAATGTGTGTACTGCAAAGAACAGAAACATTAGAAAGAATGAGTGCCCCAAGAGAAAAAGACGAGTAATCAATCACTCAGGAAAAGCCACCAAAGGCTATCCTCAATTTAGAAGGTCAGGATTGATGGGGCTGGGGCTCTTATTTACTAAGCCCCCAGGAGCCCAGGGTCACTTTAAGAGTTGGGGACAAACCTATCAGCTTCTTAGTCAACACCGGGGTAGCCCACTCAGTACTTAGCCTCTGGGACCGCTATCCAGTAAAAAACAATTATCCAGGGGGTCACAGGAAAAACCATGACAAGCCCTTGGATGACCAACTGACTTGATCTGGGGAATGGCACCGTCAACCACTCCTTCTTAGCCATTCCAGAGTGTCTGTACCCACTCCTAGGACGGGACTTACTTCACAAACTTCAAGAAAATATTTCTTTCTGTGAGAGACAGGCTTGCCTCTCAATTCCTCCTCCCTTGGCATCAGGGCCACCTCGGCAAATCCTCATCACCTGTGCTCTGTCAGATGAGTACTCTTGCAGGAAGCTTTATCCTTCGAGGCAAATCCACCAACATCAGACCTCCTCTGCCAGTTCCAAGAAAATGTACCCGGCTTGTGGGCTGAGACAAATTCCCCAGGCTTGGCAAGTCACCGTACCCCACTCGTGGTTCAGTTACTGGCAACAGCCACTCCAGTCCAGGCATGACAATATCCCATGAGCCAGGAAGCCAGACGGGGAATTGCTCCACATATAACCAGATTCCTAAAAGAAGGGATACTTACTACTTGTAAGTCCCCCTGGAATACCCCATTATTCCCTGTCTTAAAACCAGACACAAAGAACTATCAGCCCATACAGGACTTAAGGGAGGTAAACAAACGAGTGGAAACTCTCCACCCTACAGTTCCAAATCCGTACACCCTCCTAAGTCTCTTGTGCCCAGAACACTGCCATTACACTGTCTTGCATCTCAAGGATGCATTCTTTTGCATCCCTCTGGCCCATGTTAGCCAGCCCATATTTGCTTTTGAATGGACTGACCCCGATACTGGGATCTCGGGCAACTCACTTGGACAAGACTGCCTCAGGTGTTCAAAAACTCCCCTACTCTGTTTGATGAGGCACTTGGCCAAGAGTGTGCCGCCTTCCAAGCTAAGTTCCCTGACTGTACCCTATCCAATATGTGGATGACTTACTTTTGGCTACAAAAACCCAGAAGCCCTGTAAAGAGACCACCCAGTCATTATTAAAGACTCTACAGATATTGGGTTACCAGTTCTCAACTAAAAAGGCCCAACTCTGCCAACTGAAAGTGACTTATCTGGGCTATATCATAGAGAAGGGCAACTGGCACCCAGCCAAGTCCAAGCAGTGCTGCAAATACCCATCTCCACCATGAAACGCCAAGTTCAAGAATTCCTTGGGGCAGTAGGGTACTACAGGCTATGGATTTTGGGATTTGCCAAGATTGCCAAGCTCCTGTATGCCTGCACTGGAGGAAATCAGCCCTTGACTTGGACAGAGATAAAGCAACGGGCTTTTGACAAGCTCAAGACTGCCCTGACTACAGCCCCAGCCTTGGCCTTGCCAGACATCTCTAAACCCTTCCGGTTGTTTATGCATGAAAAACAGGGAGTCGCTAAGGGGGTGCTCACCCAGTCGTTGGGACCATGGTCCCAGCCAGTCACCGGCCTTTCAAAAAGACTTGATCCCATAGCCTCTGGTGGCCAGCTCGTCTGAGATCGGTGGCAGCTACAGCTCCGTTAGTCAAGGAGGTGGACAAACTAACCTTGGGGCAGGAGTTAAACTTAGCTGCGCCCCACGCGGTGGAGTCACTACTCCGTGGAGCTCTGGGAAAACGGATGTCAAATGCCCGCATAGTTCAATATCAGGGGTTAATTTTGAACCAGCCCCGCATAAAGTTTTTAAAGGCTACAGTTTCAAACCCCGCCATGCTGCTACCTGACAGCGAGCCGGAGGAGCCCACACACGACTGCCAACAGACATGGACGTCCTCCACGCAGCTCTACCGGACCTCACCGACGTCCCCCTGCAGAACCCAGAGGGGGTACTGGATACGGACGGTCGACGGAGTCAGGTATGCCAGGGCAGCCGTAGTCACCCTAGAGCGGGTTGTCTGGGCCCAGGCTCTTCCACATGGAACCTCGGCCCAAAGGGCAGAACTCTTAGCTCTGACAAAGACCTTAGACTGGGTGGAGGGAAAAACTGTTAACATCTACAGGAAGCCGGTATGCCTTTGCTACTGCTCATGCACATGGAGCCGTTTATAAAGAAAGAGGACTACTTACCTCAGAGGGAAAACCATCAGAAATAAAAAAGAAATCCTAGCCCTACTAGAGGCTATACGGAAGCCCACGGCAGTGGCATTAATACACTGCAAAGGACACCAGAAGGGAAACTCACCAGAGGCGAGGGGAAATAGGGCGGCTGACCTACAGGCCAGACAGGCAGCCTCGGGACCAGCAAAACCTCTGACTGTTCTTGTAACTCTGCCGGCCCCATCCCTGCCCCCCAACCCTACGTACTCACCTGATGAAAAAACTTTCCTAAAGAACAAGGGGGCACACAAGATTCCACAGGATGGTGGATTCTACCGGACACAAGGATTGTGGTCCCCGAGGCTCTAGGACGGGCCCTAGTTAAGGACACACACCAGGCCACTCACTTAGGACAGACCAAGCTAACTGAGCTGCTAAAAGCCAAACACTACATTCCCCACTTACATGAACTTATCGAGGAAATTACCGCTCTGTGTGATGTCTGTGCCCGAGGAAATCCGGGAGGGAACAGGTCTAGCCAGGCAGGAGTGAGACTCAGAGGGGCTAGCCCTGGGGAGCACTGGGAAGTGGATTTCACTGAAACAAAACCCCAGCAAATGGCTATAAATACCTCCTGGTGTTTATAGATACGTTCTCTGGATAGGTCTAAGCCTTCCCCACTAGGTCTGAGACCACTTTGGTGGTCACAAAAAAACCTTTTACAGAGCCTTGTTCCTGGTTTGGCCTCCCTCTAACACTGGGGTCGGACAATGGGCCCGCCTTTACTACACGTATTTCTCAGGGCCTATCTAAGGCCCTGGGTATATCCTGGAAATCACACTGTGCCTGTCGTCCCCAGAGTTCAGGGCAAGTCGAACGAAGGAAACGGACCTTAAAAGAAACCCTGAGAAACCCGTGAAAACTGGGTCAGCCTGCTTCCTTTCGTCCTCCGCGTCCTATGCACACACTATCAGAAAGATTTCTCCCCTTTTAAAGTCATGTTTGGCAGGCCCCCTCCCTTACTTCCCAGACCCTCAGATACCGTACATGCTGAAGTCCATAACCATACACTCCTTAGGTCCTTACAGGCACTCCAGTCTGTTCAATCCCAGATACACCAGCTCATTAAAGACACCTGTCCCACCCATGGGACCTCGCAGACCAGCCGAGACACCCCTTCCAGCCTAGAGACTCTGTCTTTGTTAAAAGATTCGCCATCTCCTGCCTCACCCCCTGTTGGAAGGGACCCTACACGGTTATCCTGACAACACCCACCACATTCAAGGTGGACGGACTAACGACCTGGATTCATCACACCCACGTTAAGACTGCCCCACCGGAAGGACAATGGAGGGTCAAACACTCCTCCCCTGACACACTAAAGCTAAGACTTGTGCACTCTTCACAGTCACCACCCTCGCCACCCTAATCTGTGCTGTAAATCCCTATAGCAAACCCCCCTTAGAACTCACTTACTATCAATGGGTCCTCACTGAGGGCTCCACTGGAGGATATGTTGGTTCCTTAACCAGGAAGAGATCCACCCGAGTCAATCTATCCCTGGAGTACATTCCAAAGAACCCCATTACCTTCTCCCTAGACCTCTGTGCCCTCCTGGGCCCCAACCTAGATTTCAGAAAAAGTGGAGGTGTAGCCGGGTGCAGCAGTTCAGGGGCAGAGCAACAACTATCTGTGCCCAGGATCCACTCCACAAAAAAGATGGAACTGTGGAGACTTAAATGAATTATTTTGCCCCCACTGGGGCTGTGAAACTGTCTCCACTATATCATGGGACACCAATAACATAGATTCCTTCATCTCTTTTAACCAAGGCTCTCCCCCATCCCCATGCTACACTTGGTCTTGTAATCCACTCAAGATGACTGTAACTACCCCAGATGGTAGATGGACAACAGGGCGAACCTGGGGTCTCAGAGTATATATGCGTGGATGGGACATGGGAAACATCTTTCCTACTCCTACTGGGACTCATGTTTGGCCCCTGCTTCCTAAACCAACTGCTCAGGTTCATAAAATCTAGGGTAGACTCCGTAAAATTAATGGTACTAAGGTCTCAATATGGGCCCTTAGAACCAACAAACAATACTAATCTGTTGGAGGAATCGATGATTTAATTCCTGTAAATAAAACAAGGGGGGAATGTGACATGGTAAAAGCCGTAAAATTGCATACCTCAACCATACTTCAGCTTTCTGTTGAAACTGCTTTCTGTAACCCTGATGTGACAGGCAAGCAGTCCAAATCCATGCCACCTTGGCCCCTGCGACTTGTAATCAGTAATTAAGGTCTGTAATTTCCACCCTACCCAGACAATGTGTGAACTAATCTTGACTTTTGTGAACCACTTAAATAACAATCGGAATGTCAAAAGTCCCCTAGCCCTCGGAATGTCCAGAACCCCTCACTCTTATCTCCACCCAGGAGGTGATTTACAGAATCCACTGGAATGTCCGGAGGTCCTCACCCTCATCTCCACCCAGGAGGTGATTTACAGAATCCACTAGCCCTCGGAATGTCTGAAGCCCCTCACCCTCACCCCCAAGGTAATTTTACGGCTGTAAAAGGTCTTGACACTCTCCTTTCAGGGCCGTGGGTTGGAGAGACATGAGTCCTCCGTGGCCACGGGCAATAAAGACCCTGCAATTTGGCACAATTTTGTCTTGGTTTTGACTTTCTATGCTCACTCCAATACAACATTATACACCGTAGAATTCTATGCAGCCGTAAGAAATAATGAGCCCATGTGTTTCACAGGAACATGGATGGAGTTGGAGGCCATTATCTTTAGCAAACTAATGCAGGAAGAGAAAACCAAATACTGCATGTTCTCACTTATAAGTGGGTGTTAAATGATGAGAAGGCATAGACACATGAGGGGAAAAACACACACTGGAGCCTTTTGGAAGGTGGACATTGGGATGAGTGAGATGATCAAGAAAACAACTAATAGGCACCAGGCTTATTTAGTGGGTGATGAAATAATCCATACACAAATCCCCATGACACAAGCTTACTTATGTAACAAACCTACACTTATACTCTTGAACTTAACATAATTTTTTTTTTTAAAAAGAAACTTTTCATGGAATCTCAAGATGAAGTATAATAGAGAGCTTGATGCTACAAATAAAGATTAGAAGATTGCCTAATTCCAACTTCCTCTATTTTGGGGCTACCTTAACAATTTATGCAGTGGTCAATTGTCTTTTTTATTCCCTACTAAAATATATATGCAATTACAATGATATTTTAGCTCACCTTTTCATTCTCCACCATCATAGTGCCTCGTACTAAAGACATGTTCAGTAATTGCATAATCGTTGAGGGAATTCTCATCTCTCAGGTGACCAATGTGCATTTCAACTAAATATGGACTTTGTTGATGACTCATCACTGACTGTTTTAAATGTTCTCATCCCGAGTCTGACTTAGAAATTTACATGTGAGAAAAATCCCTGTGACTTATTATTTCATTTTAAAATTTATCAAAAAATGAACAAAATAAAATTAGCTAGCTTCTATAAAGCTTTCTTAAATTCTTCAAAGACTCACCAAAACTCCTAATTAATAAGAACATAACATTGGAATATTATGCTGTGTATAAATGAATTAATACATCTCTATATTTTCCATCAAATTTGATAAATATTTTTTCCTGAATCTTCTTTAAAAATATGTCTTTTCCCTGTCACCTAGCAATAATCCTGTTAGTTACAGGTCATCTCACTGGTTAAGAGACTCCAATTGTCACAGATTATAATTAGCTATTGAATTTTCTCTGATTCAACTTTTAATCCTATGTTTCATTACTGGGAAATTATCTTTCCATAAATGAGTAGAATTCTCAAGGTCTTTCAGAAAATGTCAGGCATTTAATCAAAGAACGCTACATTTTTTTTCACGGAGTCAGTTTTACAAATGTCTTTATTGATAGGTGGCTTTCTGCCTTCAAATTTATGCTAAGATGGACCTGCAAAATAGATAAGATATACTCAATAATAGAAAGCACAATCATAACTCAACCATACTTACAGACAAAAAAGTGCATGTAGACAATAATAGAAATTCCCAATATAAAAAAAACTAGTTTTAATTATATAATCAATTACCTAAAACCAGTTAATCATGGAAAAAATTAAAAACATTGTTGAAAAGTCTTACCTTTTAAAATTTTGTGTGATCTCATATTTTAGATACATTTTTGTTGACATGAAGGTGATTTAAAGTATATTATTATATGATAAAAACAAGTTTCAGATCAAAATGCAAGTCCTGCTTTTATTCTTTGAAAAATAATATATATATATGAATAGAAGAAAGGGAAAATGAGAGAGACAGTGTTCTAGGAGAATCTACAAAAATGATAGTTGCATCTAATTGGTGATTTTTTTTCCTAAGTATTGTATAATACAGAGTTCTTATGTAATTGTTGCAAAATTACAATTTTAAAAAGAAAAATATGTAATTTTTAGTAATTTTAGTTAATATTTGTAATAATATTTTCAAAAATATATTTAAATGCTATATTATAATCTAGAAATGCCACAAGTCAGGGAACCAGAATGATTGGACATCGGAGGAGCAACTGCAGACAGAAATAATATTTTCCCCAAAATACCTGAATTGTTTTTATGTTAATATGTGAAATCATGCGCTCAGGTTAACAGAAACAACCTTACAATGAGGAGAGGAATCTGAACCTGAGAGCTGTATTTCATCTAAAAGCAATAGCTGAGGATCTCTAACAGGAGAAAGAAACTCCTAACAATCCAACTAAATATTCCTGGTGTTTTTGTGCTGTGTGTGGGTGTTCGTGTGTGTGTATGTGTGTGTGTGTGTGTGTGTGCATCTGCCCGTGTGTGTGGGTGTATATGATGGGCATCAGAATGTTCAGTGTCTTTAAGATACAGAAATGATCTGAAATTAATCTCCAAATGGCTTTCTAGTGCTCTAGTAATGTTTTGCAAATTGTAATTCCCTTTGTAGCAGCTACATCACATGTGAATGCCAAACATACAAATTGTTGGGCTTCAACCTAGACTACTTATTAAATCAGAAATTCACCAAGCCTTCCCAGTGATACATAGTTAAGATTGATTATCCCAGTCTCTATGCCTAATTTAGATGCTAAATTTCCTATACGTGATTTTCCCTCTTTGTTGTCATTTTGCTCACAATTCTACTTACTATTAACTTCCAATCTTTTCCATTGTTCCATTTCTGGTTCCCTTATGGATGCAAAGATACCATAATTCCTTTAAGGGTTGCAACATGTATAATTTTTGTATCCTTTCATGGCCTAGGACAGTGTTGCTAAATAGTGTTTAATAAATCTTTAGTTAGTGAAAAGTAAATTACTTGATACATCCACTAGCTAATGCTGGTTTTGCAGACAGCTCTTGTGCATACAGCCTGACCTGGAGAGAGCACTGCTTTCTAGCTGATGCTGAATGTCAGTATGAAGAACTCTAAATTCTGTGCAGCAAAGATGGCTCTCACTTATCCGAAAACGTATTGTTCCATTTGCGATTACCTAGTCCAAGAACTCCTGTTTTTTTTTCTTTTTCTATTATATATCAAACGTACAAAAGAGAGAACAGAAAATAAAATTGTTATATAGGAGTGCTGCTATTTAGTATCACCTGTGGTTTGATGGAGGATTCATGATGAGTGTTTGATGAGATCTAAGGACCTAAGTGTCCTAACTAAGCAATTGGTACATTGTATTCATCATCGTTATTTCAGTAGCCTATTGGAGCTGAAAAGGAAAAGTTGACTGAATATCTTCAAGGAATCTTAGACAAAAAATAAAAAAGAGTTCAGGTCAATCTTACCTTTATTCTGAAGAACTCCAATGAAGTGTGTACTTGAATTTTACCCAGAACTTGTTCATTTCTCTAATTCATTTTTGGCTGTGGAGAGCCTGAGTCATCTAAGAACAAAGAAAGCTGCTTTTGTATGAGAATGAATCATTTACAATTTTGCACACTTTCTAAATAACAATCCAGAACTACACTCAGATCATACTTTCTTCAGTTTTATTGACCATGACAACAGACTCTCAATTTAGTAATCCAGTCTCTTAGGAAGCAAACTACAATTTGGGAAGGTTTTATTTTATGTGTTACACTGTTCTCAGCAATTTTTGTATATTTAATCTATGTGATGACCTCACATGTGTTGTTCAGTTATTGATTGATAGTTAATCGAGGCTCAGAGAGGTTGAATAAATTTTAGTAGGTCACACGGCTAGGAAAGAGCAAATAAAAGAAATTAAACTCTTATCTCTTTTATGTTAGAGAATTTAATTTTTCAACAATATCTCAGACCTTTTGAGATATTTATGTCTTCAGAAATTTGAATGGTTCTAGCCTCAGGTGGCTTCATATGATTTTTACTTAAAACTCTCGTTTGGTGCAAATCTTGTCTCTTTGATTTCCCAGTAGCAAATTTATTTACTGTTCCTTTACTGTTCAAGTCTCCTGTGAATTTTCTATTTACTTCTCTGGCCAGAGGAGAGAGGGATGTTTGCTGACCTGGCTGTATGCTTCATGCGCTGACCTTTTAGAATCACTTCTCGTTCTGGTTCCTGGAGAGTGTCCTCTTTCCACCTGCTTTTGTTTGTACTCTCTGAGCCACTGTTTGCATTTAATTTTAAAATGTCTCCTTCCATTATCTTCTCTAGCTTTGGCGTTCTTATGCCACTTTCATTATACCTCTCATACTTTTCATTTTGTCTGAAATGTTTTTTAAAAGAAATAAATCCTAGCATAAAAGAGAAGATGCCAACTGAGAACAAACTCATGAAAGAGGAAAAAATTAAAGTGGACAGAAATGTGAAAGAGATTGAAATTAAAAAAAATATATACTAAGTTTAAACAAGATGTTTGAACCTGAAAATTTTCTTAAACAGAAGTAAGGTGAAAGTGAATAAAATGACATATTAAAGGGCTTGGTGCAGCAATTGCATGGCTACCGTTGCTGTAGATTGGCCATTAAATCCTAGAAACCTAAACTGTGGATCAAACTGTCTCTACGTAAATGGAAAAAAAGCATCCGAATTGACTTTCTGTTTAAATGAGAGACTGAACAAATATGCACAGACATAGGCATCATCTGTAGTTTTTTATGGTCCTATAAAAAGAGAATTTGACCTAAATATTTCTACATAATATTGGATACATTCATTGAATTTTCTCATGTATTCTCATCTTCTGAGGTTGGTGGAGACGATAGGCCTAATTTCTGTTTCACACTGAGCAAACCCAGAACAAAATTGTATAGTCAGTTTGTATACTTTTCACTCTTCAGTTTTGTAGCTTCCTTTTCTTTGTGCCTTTTCATTAGGATTCCAGTGACTTCATATTTTCCCTTTTAATAAAATTCCCCTGGGCTTCCGTCTTAGTTTATTCTTGATATTATAACAAAATAAATACCACAGACTGGGTAAATCATAAAGAATAGAACTCTGTTTCTCACAGTTCTGAAGGCTGGAAGTCCAAGATCAAAGGGCCAGCAGATTCAGTATCTGGTGAAGCCTTGCTCCCTGCTTTATAGATGGTGGGGTATTCCTGCATCCTCTGAAGGGGACAAATTCTGTGTCCTCACTGGAGGAATTCAGAAAGGAAAAAAGGGCAAGAAAGGATCTAG